GCTGCGCCATCACGCCTGGCTTCAGGATGTTCTTGAGACGCAGGCATCTGCCCGCTCCTCCCCGCTCCTGGTCTTGTCTGTCCACTGAAGCAGGACCTCCAGGGGCCGCTGACTCCTGGCTGACCGAGTGGACACAGCCCAAGCTCCTTGGAAGGACTGGGATGACATTTCCTGAAACCGCAGGCAGGCGGGGCTCTTTGGAAAGCCCCACGGTTCTTTTTTCAATAAAGACAAATGAATTTCTTCCCCTCAGCTGACTCGGAGCCGCAGCGGGAACCTTTCCCTGGCTCTTCCCGACTCGCCACTGCTCTCCCTGGAAGAATGTGGGTCACAAGGGACACCCTGTGGGAAAGGGACCAGCAGAGCTGAAATCCGTAACAGCAAGAGTCCAGACATGGACGATTCCTCCCTGGCGAGTCCGGGAATGGTGGCCCTGGTACTGAGCGCATTCGCTAGGAGTGATAATAGGAATGACAGCCAGCGTTGCCTTGGCACCGATCGCGGGCCAGGCGTCTCAAGTGTGCAGGGATTCACTTCGTCCTCACGTTAGCCCCTGTGACCACTTCGCTCCTGTGAGGGTCAGTCAATTCCGTTTTATCCCCATTTCACGGAGGAAGAAACCGAGGCTCAAAGAGGTCAACTCTCCCGTCCAGGATCCCACAACTGGTAAGTTGGGCAAATGTAGGCTGAGGAACGAAGGGGCAGAGTCTGCCCCCCTGGAGACCACCCAGATGTCCTGCTGCCCCACCCAGGGCTCTGCCGTCAGCCCTGGACTTCAGGGCTCCCCATCTAATTCTTTGGGTTCTAGTTCAGGCTGTGCTAGAGCTAGAGTCCTCCCTCACCAGGTGGAGAAGCTGCCCCGAGGAGGTGGGAGGCCTCACGGAGCCTCTTTGGGTCCTTCCTGGCTGTTCTGGAACGAGTGGGCTGGGTGGAGTGTCCCTCTAGATACTGCTCTTCCACCCGCCTCCTGCTGCGGTCCCCCTGGGTGGCAGTCAACGTGGTGGTTGAGCGCCCTTGCCCAGAAGCCAGACGGCTCAGGGGCAGATCCCACTTCTGCCCGCTCCTGGCCGGCCGTGTGGCCCTAGATGAGTCCCGCTCCTCTTGGTCCCCTCACTGTAAAATGAAGTTCACCCAGTGCCACTTCAAAGTTGGGAGAAATGAATGAGTTGTGGCAGGTGCGGCGAGCAGCGCCTGGCGCCCTCTAAATGCGCTAAGTGTCACAGATTGCGAGTGCGCAGCGACTGTCGCCTTTCTCTCCCTTATTCCCACACGTGGGTAGAAGCTCCTGGAGAAGGGGCAGCGGCTCTGGGTCAGGCGAGTTAGTGCCGCTGGTACCTGGTGGGGGAGGCCTGACCTTTAAGCAGGGACTTGAGTTGGGTGATGAACGGGGGGTGACATGAGCAGAGCTGAACGTAGCTTCCTGAGGAAGACCCTCTGCCCCCGGTCCAGCTCCTCCCCACGGGCTGGCCAGGGTAGACATCGGGGTGGCCAGGGGCTGGGCCTGAGGTACCGCAGGCCCGGAGCCCAGGTCTCCTGACTCTCATCCTGCTCCCCAGCCCCAGCCAGTCCTGGCAGCCGCTGCTCCGGACCCACAGCAGGACCACACCTCCAGGCAACCTTGCCCCGTCGTGTTGGTGTGCTTAGGAGGAAGGCAGATGAGTCCTTGGGACAGGTTGGAAATGGAAAGGTCATTTAAGAGGATATACAATAGCCTGTCAGGGTCTGGAATTGAACATGAATTGGGGGCAAATGTGTTATTAAGCAAAGGGAAGAAAGACTCTGAGAAAAAGAGAAACCAGGACCAGTCAGGGGTGGGGAGAGAGGATGGGTGTGGCCAGAGCAGGGACAATGGGTCTCAAGAACTCCCTCTCCCGGTGACTCCGTCTCAGGGTCTCTCTGGGGCTTGCCTCCTGTGAGGTATTCTTGGGGAGCACCTCCCTGAGCGGGAGCCTCCACACTGCTTCTCCATGCTGCCCGCTCTCCATTGGCTAGAAGTCCCCCCAGGACCTGGGGAACCCACCAGGGGTCTGGGCATCCGGGTCACGTGGAATTGGTCAGTGCACTAGGAACTCGTGAATCACCTGCCCATCGCAGAGGATCCCTCCCAACTCCTAGACGAGGTTTTACGATCCCGGAGAGACCCTTAAGGATTGGAACTCTGGGAAATTCCCAGAGCTTCAGGATTCCGAGGGCTTCTCTCAATTCCAATGTCCCCAGGGGTCAGAGGCCTTCTTTGAAATTTGACTATGCTTGAGAATGATGACCCTGTTTCCAGGGGCCAAAGCATCGTCCCCAAGTTCCAGAAATCTGCAGACAGACTGTGGCTCGGGGGTTCCAGAAGTGCCTTCCTGAGTGCACAAGTTCCCGGGAAGGGCCAGGTGGACTGAAGTCTGGGTCTGGTGCCGGGTACCTCAGGCCTGTGGAAGGCCCAGGGCCTCGGGGGGGTCCTAGGAAAGCACCACCTTGGAGGGAGGATGCCGAGGGAGAGGTGGGCTCGTGGCTCATGAGACGGGGCAGGGGAGGACCTGTTCCCACAAGTCCAGCGTCTCCCTTGGGGAGAGAGAATGGGGTTTTGCTGAGCCGGAGCATGAGTTGGCGGTAGGAACTGGGGAATCGTGGCTGGCTCCAGGGGAACCGTCCAGACACAAAAGAACCCCCGCAGCCAGGCCCCTGGGTGGTCCTCATGAATCCTCCCCACGCAGGGAAGGAAAAGGCTCACGCTGGTTGCCAGGGGCCTCCCCTGCCCAGGCCCAGGACCTCCCAGCTGCAGGGCCTCGAAGCAGCAAGATAAGGGTGCTGGGAGTGGGAGGAGCCCGGGCAGGAACCTGCAGGCCACCCAAGCTGAGATAGCGTCAGCACATTAGGGCAATAACCTGCCCCCTCTTCAGGTCTCTGCACGAAGGTCCCCTCCACACAGGACCTTTCCAGAACCCCCTATTTAGAGTTGGGCCCCTGCCAGACCCAGCCCGACCCCTGCTCTACTCTGCTCCCCAGGATGTATCAGCGCCCCACATGCCCCGGGGAGTGTCCTGTGCATCTTCTCCTTTGCGCTCCGTTCTGTGCTGGCCCAAGGCAGGTTCTCAGCAGGTACCTGTCAAATGAGATGGTCTGGCGCTGACTGAAGATTGCTGGTGGCAAAGTCACTGCAGCAGGCAGTGACATTCTTTCCGAATATCAGGGAGTCTCATCCTCATGAGAGATCTTCAAAGGGACCTTGTTACTCTGCCCACTCTGGATAGGTGTCACTTGGGCTCAGAGCAGTGATGTCACTTGCCCAGGGTCACTCCTGGGTGCGTGTGTCAGGTTGGGGCTTGTGTGGTTGACCCACAGCCTGCCCTGTCTGGTTGGCTGGTTGGCCATGGCCCTCCAGCCCCAGGCCTGCCTCAGGGTCACCACTGGTGAACACCCCTAATGCTCCGTCACAAGTCCTGCCTCCTGGACCCTGACCACAGGGGACTCCAGCCTGGGCTGACCCTGTTAACCTCAGCTGCCAGGTCCTGCCACACAGACTCAGGAGCCAGGGGCCTGGCAGTTGACGAGGTCCAGAGAGGGCTGAGAGCCTGCCCCAAGTCACACAGGACACCCGGAGTAGTCTCAAGGTACTTTGTTGTTTTCTCTGGGTCCTCACCCCCCTGGGGCTGATTCTGAGACAGTCCAAGGTTCCTCTGCAGAGTGCTGGGAGGAGAGCCCCAAGTCTTCCCTGGCCTGGCCCTGCACTGGGGAGTCCTCCGGCCAGGCCCCCCTGTTGCAGAGATGAGGAGACTCCATCTTCCCCAGCATCCTCCCCGGCCGACTTGCTCTGCTTCCCCCAGAGCTTCCCAGGCTGTGGCTAAAGCTGCCTGCCTGGGGACTTGCCCAGGCCCAGGCCCCAGGTCTCAGACAGTGTCCACCCGGAGGCCCAGCTCAGCACTGCTGGCTGAGGGCTCTCCTCTCTGCACTGGCCTCCTTTCTGGTCCCCTGCCTCCACCCCTCCACCATCCGTGCCAGGCCAGCCTGGTCCACGTGCAGATCTAAGCCAGTGACTCGGCCAGCCCTTCCACGGCTCCCCTGTGCCCTGGACACGGCCCCAGTTCTGGATGTGGCCCACTGGCCCTGAAGTGCCTGGTCCTGGAAAATTCAGAAACTCGGAGGCCTCCCAGCCCCTCCACCTGCCAACTGCCGTGACTTCCTCGGCGAAGCTTTCCTGCCCCCCCCCCACAGTTGCTTACTGGGAGACCCTCCTTGGTGCCTCTATAACGCCCTGACCTTCCCGTCAGCCCGTGTGAGGTCGGAAGTGCCTGTCTGCCCCGCAGCAGTGGGGGCTACCAGGGAAAGCCACCTCTGTCCATGTGGGTCCCGTTCGCAGCTTACAGTTCCAAGTGCAGCTGACACTGGGTGTTTGTTGAATGAATGAGCCAGTGAGCCCTGTGGGCCTCAGCTTCCCGGACTGTAAACGCCACCATGGAGTTGACCGGGGGCTTCCTGTGCTGAGCCGCTCCTGCTCCCACTCCCCATCCCTCCCATCACATCCAGACCTCTCCATAGCTACAGACCCCCCATCCTCCTGGGCACTCAGACCAGGGACCACGGCATTCCTCACATCCTTGGTCCTCGTGAATGCTCACAGGTCAGGCACCGTCCCCCCAGACAGCGGCCCAGGAAGGTGCAGGCCTGAAGCACCTGAAGCCAGGTCTCCCGAGCCCACCAGCACCAGGACATGCAGCTAGCACAGAGCAGGGGGGACCCTGGCCACTCGAGTGCCCCAGCTCAAGCCTCCCCCAGTGAGACATTCACCATCCCATGCCCCCACACCTTCCCAGTGCCAACCTACCAGTGGCACATGGTAGGTGCTCAGTTAAAAACTAGTTCGATACATGAAGGGAGCTGGAAGGCTAGGCATCCCAGACCAGAAGAGGACACACATCCGTACCGAGAGTCCTCGTTCCTCCTCAGACTCCCCAAAGAGCCCTTCCCATCTCAGATTATTCCCTTAAGGAAAATGACTGACGCACAGAACCAGACCCAGAGCCAACACCTCTCTTTATTCATACATTTTGTCCCCTGCTGCCTGGTTTCTCAGGACAGTCTTATCTCAAGGGCAGCATCCTCCACTTGTCTTCCCAAGGAGCCCCCCAGGCCCTGGAGGTATGTTCTGCCCAGTCCAGCTGCAGGCTGAGTAGCCACAGCCACTGCCATTCACAGAACCGGGAGAGCCAGCCCGGGGCGCATGGCAGACTCCTGGTCTCCACGTTGCCTTCAGTGGGGAGGGGGGGCTCCGTCTGGGCTCTGAGCACACTTGCTGGTGGGTGGCTGGCTCTGGCCCCGTCGCAGGGAGCTGCCGATCTGCAGTCTGAGGGCCTCCAGTCTCTGGGCGAGGTTCAGGACCCCGGCCCCACCTATGGAGCAGCGAGACTGGAGGCCTGCCCTCCCGGGGCCTCCTGCCCTCCTGGGGCCTCCTTCAAGCCCAGCGGGCCAACACCCTCTGGAGCAGCACCCACACCCTCCCCGACAGCTGTCTGTGCCTGGGGCCCTAAAGACAGAATTCCAAGGTTTGGAGCCGATGGTTCTGAGCAGTCCCTCCTAAGCCCACCGCCCAGAGACAGAAGCCTGAGGCCCGAGCACCCCAGGGCCCCTCTCCGAGGCCTGAGCACCCCAGGACCCCCTCCCCCTTCACCTTTCAGCACTGGCGGCGTCTTCGGGGGCCCCATGGGCAGCGGGGGGGCCGAGGGCACCACCTCCTCCCCGGTCAGCACCTCTGCCAGGACGCGGGTCTCGGTCCAGTCACTGTGGCTCCTGGCCAGGGCGAGCGGGTGGTCACAGGGGAGCATTTGCCTCCCCAGGGCTCCTCCCCACTCAGACGGCCCCAGGGCTGGGCTCACCTCCCTCCTGGGCACTGGGCAGAGCCGGGGCTGCACGGGGGTGCCCAGGCGGGGGGCCGGGCAGACAGGGGCAAGCCGCCCGGGGCCTCGGGGTCTGGCACCTATAGGAAGATCAGAGCCCACACTGGGTGACCTCAGTCCTGCCTCTCCTTGTCCTGCTTTCCTGGTGCTGGCCATGACTCCTGGCCATGCCTGTCCCACCAGGTGCCCAGAGTGTCAGGCCATTGTAATAGGCGGGGTCTTGGCCGCCTTCCTCTGGGCTACAGGTGACTCATGTAGTGTCCTGAGACTGGGAGCCTCTGGCAGGCAGGAGCCGCGCCTGGGCTATTTCTGAACCCTGGGCACCTGGGACAGAGGCTGCCCGCAGCTGGGAGCCCAGGGGAGGGGACTGACGAGGCCAGCAGGCACAGGAGCAGCAAATGCACAGATGGGCAACCACTCAGGTGCAGGTGTGAACCAGCAATCGAGGGCTGTGTTCCTAAGAGATGGTGGGTGGCACGTTCCGCACCCTGGGCTGGGTGCCCCAAGCCAGCCCTTCACCCACTGTGATGCAGCCCGGAACCCAGGATCCCTGGGGTCCCCGATCCCTGACTCTCGACCTCTAGATCAAGGTCCAGGTCCCCCAGGTCCTCCCTGCCCAGCCTTTCCTACCTGCGGCTGGTGGTGCTCCCTCCGCGGGCAGGCCCAGCGGGCCAGAGGCACTCGGCACAGAGGGCAGAGGTGGCAGCAGGGACAGGAGCAGAGGGGTGGCAGTGCCTGTAAGTGGGCACATCAGAGGCTCCGCGGCATCCTAGCTTGTCACCCTTGCAGGCTGGGTGGGGAGACTCACGTGGCAGGGGGCGACTGGCACCATCAGGCAGGAGCACGGTGGGCCGGGCACAGGGCATGGCTGGCAGGGGGCGCGGGCAGAGCAGAGGCGCCTGCAAAAGAGCTCTGCCTGTGGCCGCTGCCCCCCTGGGCTGGCCTTAAGGCCCCTCAGCAGAGCCAGCAGCACATCCTGTGCCCAGGGCCCCTTCCCCTGCCCTCCAGGCCCCAAGGCGCAGGTGAACCAGGACCCCATCTTAGAGAAGAGGAAACCCAGGCAGCGAGGGGTCAAGTGACAGGCCCAACCGGGCACAGCCAGGAGCTGGCAGCGCTGGAAACTGAACCCAGGTGGACCCAGAGGTCAGACCGCCATGTCACTAAGTCCCTCTGTTCCCGGCTTCCCTCTCTCTAGGCCGCGGCCGCGCTCACCTTTCCAACTCAAGGACCTGCTGGGAGAGGACGCGCTGCTGGTCGCGGGCCAGGTCTCGGCTACTCTGCAGCTGGCTTATTTCTTTCCTGGGAGAGGACAGGCCCCCTAGGTGACGGGGTGCTGGGATGTCGGTCAGGCCCTACTCACTGCAGCCCAGTACCAGCTACAGGAAGCTGGGGGACGAGGGGACAGGGGACAGGACATCCTGACCGAAGCACCCGGCAGGGAGGGGCGGTGGTCAGTGGCCCCCTGGGACTGGGCTGCACCTGAGCCGCTCATTCTCCAGCATGAACTCCTGCAGCATGCCGTAGAGGTTCCGCTGGGCCCAGGCCACCCGGGCTCCCCGGAGTGCTGGGCCTGTGTGGGAGTGGGCGGTGACGAGATCCACAGGAGCAGCAGACCCAGCCACATCCACCTCCACCTCCACCCCCAGGGAGCTCCTACCCTGGGGGTCCCTTTGGTCCAGCTGCAACCGCAGGTGACGGTTCTCTTCCTGGAGCTGTAGCATCTCAGTCTCCAAACGCTGAGGCTGCTTTGCCATAGGGGACTGCAGAGAAAAGAGGCCCAGAGCCACCCTTTAAGGCTGTACAAGTTGTGCACTGCACAAGGCCTTGCAGGGGTGGGGAGTGAATGGGACCTAAAATCCAGCCCATGTTTCGCTTGCCAGCCTCGAGCCCTGCACGAGGCTGTGTCTGTCGGGAGCTGGCATGTGCTGCCCACTGTGTCCTCCTGGAAGACCCCAATCTGAGCTGGACTGGGCTCTAGGTCCAAACCCAACTCATTTTTGTTCCAAAGGCCCAGATTCTGGCCTCTCAAAGGACCCTGTATCAGACCCAAGCTCCACTCGCACTGAACCATGATGCCAGCTGAGGTCCTGGCCAGGCTCTGGATCACGTCCCAGATCCCACCCCACCCTGGACCTGCCCAAAGCTGACTGTGACCTTGGCTGGGACCCTGGTCCCACCTGCCAACCATGATGTCACTTCCAGGATTCCAGCTTTCAGCCCACCTCTGACCCAGGCCCAGACTTCAACCGTGAGGCCTTCAGGCTGCGACTCCTGCCTCCTGATGGGAGCCCACCTCCCCGGCCCGTCCCTGCACCCGGGAGCCCATTCACCTTGGGGGCCTGAGGCCGGGTGGTGACTCGCTGGGCCCGACTTGCATAACGCAGGGTGCTGAGAGTCTCAGGGAGGCACTGGGCAGAGGGGGACACGCAGGCCACCTGGAGAGGACCCCCTGAGTGCTCCTCCCTGGGAGCCCCTCCCCCAGGCCCTGCCCTCCCAGCCAGACCCCTAGGGTACCATGAGGGTGACCCCACGCCCCCCTAGTGAGTCTGCCAGCAACTTGGTGAGCTTGCTGTCCCGAAAAGGAATGTGGCTCTGCTTCCGCTGTGGGTCCAGCAGCAGGGAGATGCAGTGACCTGGGTGGGGAAAGCAAGGCCCAGAAAGGTTGCACCCCTTGTCCAAAGCCACACAGCTACAGAGCCGGAGCTCCACCCAGACCCAGGCCACTCCAAAAGTCCATCTTCCACACAGTCTCACTGCTCATTCAGACGGGTGTCCCCTGCCAGCCTGGGCCTCCTGACCGCTCAGATGGCCTGGCCACCCTAGTCTCCAATGCCCAGCAGGGTCCTGGCACTTGTTAGGGACCCAGGCAGTTTCTAATCAATGGCTGAATGAAAAGGAATTTCGTGAGCACCTCCCGTGTGTGGCACTGGGAGGTGCTAAGGCCCAGGCCCGTAAGGACCGAGGTCCCATAACCTGGGGTGGGGACATAGGTGCAGCTCTCTCCCTTTCTGGGCCTCAGTCTCTAGGTGAACCAGCACCTCCTAAGTTGGCATGTCACTCTCGAGACCCTGGGAGTTTACAGTCTGAAAGACAACGTTCTAAGTAGAGAAGAAAGACAGCCCAGGCCTGTCTCCCGGTCAGCTCCTGGGCCCACCCCTATGCATCACAACGTCTCTGGTCCCCGCTGGGGGCAGCTATTGGGCAGGTGCACAGGAGGGACACAGGAGACCAGACTGGCGTCCCCAGGCCTCACCCAGGGCCAGCAGGCTGCGGTTGATGCTGTTGGCCTCCAGCATCAGCTCCCCACGGGATCCTGTGGCCGCCACCTTCTCACTGCCGGCCAGGTCCACGAAGCACAGCTTCCCACCAACAGGGGGCGCCCCGGGGTCCGCGGGAGGCATCTGTTGGGGCTGAGGGACCAGGGCTTGATGGGGACTGGGAGGACGGTTCCCATCAAAGTCACGAGGTGGCAAGGCCAAGCGTTTCCACTGCCACCCCACCTCCAGCACACACCCAAGGTGGTTCACACACGCTCTGGGCAGCTCCCTCCCCATCCGGGCACTCACAGTGGGGCGACCGATGTAGAGCGTGAGCAGAGCGTGGCTTCGGCTGGAGGCCTGGTTCAGGGTGTGCGCTGATCTCCTTCTCCGGCTGAGACCTGGAGGGGCGACCGCGGGGAGCTGCACTTGGTAGAAGAGAAGGTCACAGCCAAAGAGGAAGAGAGCAGAGGGCAGAGAGCCCCCGGCACACAGAGGCAGAGGCAGAACAGGTGTTGGTTCAGGAAAAGATGGGATGCGGCTCTGGCTCTAGCAGACAGGACTAAGCAGAGGGGAGAGAACCCAGAAGAATGACGTCACCCTGACATCCATAAACACCTCTCCTATTGATGTGTAGGAGCGGGCGGAGACCAGGCACAGAGTCACCCGAGGAATGGCAGAGCTGGGGACCCGCACCCTGGGTCCCTGCCGGAGGAGGGATGAGCCATAACTATTCTATCAATATTCTAAGCTTGAAGGAACCAGGCTGGGACCGAAGGGCCGAACAGCCTAGGCTAAGAGGTTCCACCTCTACCCACAGGGCAGGGCAGGGGGAGGTCCTGGAGCCTAAAGGGGTGTGGCCTGGAGCTTGGAAATGGGCTGCTGGGAAGAGGCTTGACCCAGCTGGAGGCTGGACCTGCAGGGAGGTCTGGGCTTTAAGGAGTCTGGAAGGCACCATCCCAGGCCTTGGGGACATTACTGGGCCAGGTCTGAGTTGCAGGTTTGCTGGTCCTTCTCCCCCAGGGGAGTTCTCTGGGTGGAGACACAGCCCTCCGCCACCCGCAGCTCCTGCAGGAGCTCGCACCCATCTGAAGAAGGTCCATCAGGGTCTCCAGACTCCTGAACTCCACCACCCGCAGCTGCTCCACGTAGAAGCCCCGGGTCTTATTCCAGCGAACGGGGAGCGGCCGGGGAGACCCCAGGCTCAGCAAGTCCCGAACCTGGGAGAGGAGGGAGCAGGGGAGAGGAAGGCTCCCTCTGATTCTGCGCCCCATCCGCCCAGCCCTTCTCGACAAGGTTCCCACGTCCCCTTCGGCCCCCTGACCCTGGCTCCTTTGGAGAGCCACGCGTCTTCCTTTCCCTTTGGGCTCTTTACATTTATTCCTCCCTTCCCGACCTGCTCGTTGTAGATCTCCAGGTAGGAGGCACGGAGGGTGACGGGGGCGCCCAGGTGCTGCACGCGGTCCAACAGCCAGGCGAAGGTCCTCTGCATGATGCCTGCCAGGCTGGGGGGCACAGGCACCCCGTCCCCCTGGGGGCAAAACCAGCTGAACCTAGGCGCTGGCCCCGCAGCAGCAGCCCAGTGATAAGTCCCTTCTTCCC